TCCCATCCCGTTTGGTTGAAAACCAAGGGAGTTAAAACTGTTTAAAGTTTCAGCCAATCAGATTGCAGCGTACGTACACGCACATGTATGCATGTGCATGGAGACCATACCTTCTTGTAGATGTCCATTATATATATCTATGTTCCAAATCCCATCCTGTTTGGTTGAAAACCAAGGAAGTTATAACTGTTTAAAGTTTCAGCCAATCAGATTGCAGCTAACGTACACGCACGTGTATGCATGTACATGGTGACCATACCTTATTGTAGAAGTCCATTTAATATATCTATGTTCCAAATCCCATCCTGTTATGTTGAAAACCAAGGGAGTTATAGCTTTTTAAAGTTTCAGCCAATCAGATTGCAGCTCACGTACACGAACGTGTATGCATGTGCATGGTGACCATACCTTTTTTTTAAAAGTCCATTTTATATATCTATGTTCCAAATCCCATCCTGTTTGGTTGAAAATCAAGGGAGTTATAGCTATTTAAAGTTTCAGCCAATCAGATTGCAGCGCACGTGCATGCACGTGTTTTCATGATAATTTCTATATATCATGTTGTAGGATATCCTAATGCATGGCTATGTTCAAAATTTCAAAGGATCTCCTCAAAAAACAAGAAAGATATTGAGACTTTAGTTTCAGCCAATCAGAGCAAAGCGCACGTGCATGCGCGTGAGATCTTGCTATTTTGACCATGTCATATTGTCTATATTACTAATATATCCTTACATTATGAGTTTCAAAGCATTTCATCAAAAATTTAAAAAGTTACGCCTATATCAATTAAATCGGTCATTTTACATGTTGCACGTGCGCGCTCTTGCAAGCACGTGCGCGCAAAATGACCTTTGTTAAATCTACATAACATGTCTATTGACCCTAAAAACATTTTACCTTAGTCGGATGTGTAGTTTACAAGATCACTCAAGGACAAAATTTTCCCAGGAATAATAATAATAATAATAACTAGTGCTAATTGTAACGGGAACCGTTACAGATGTTCCCCAAACTCTCCCCAACTCCCTTTTAGTGCCATATTCCCTGTAATATACTATATATGAAAGCATTCAGTCCAAAAGTATTAAAAATCACTCCTTCAAGTGTATTCGTTCGTTCAAAATGCACGCACGTGCGTGCACGTGCATGATGACCATACCTTCCTGTAGGAGTTCCTTATATGTATCTATGTTCTGAATCCCATCCTGTTTGGTTGAAAAACAAGGGAGTTATAGCCATTTCAAGTTTCAGCCAATCAGATTGCAGCACACGTGCATGCGCGTGATTTCATGACTTTTTTTTCTATATCGCATCGTAGGATATTCTAATGAATGACTATGTTTTCAATTTCAGAGCATTTCGTCAAAAAACAAAGGAGATATAGTCATTTAAAGTTTCAGCCAATCAGATCGCAGGACACGTGCATGCGCGTAATTTCTTGAAATTTTTTGAATATCATATTGCAGGACATCCTAATGTATGACTATGTTTTAAATTTCAAAGCATTTCGTCAAAAAACAAAGCCGATATAGTCATTTAAAGTGTCAGCCAATCAGATTGCAGCACAGGTGCATGCGCGTGATTTCATGATATTTTTTCTATATCATATTGTAGGATATCCTAATTCATGAGTATGTTTTAAATTTCAAAGCATTTCGTCAAAAAACAGAGAAGATACTGAGATTTTTGTTTTAGCCAATCAGAGCGAAGCGCACGTGCATGCGCGTGAGTTCGTGCTAATTTGACAGTGTCACATTATCTACACTATTAATATATCCATATATAATGAGTTTCAAATCATTTCATTAAAAAATGTAAAAGTTATAGCTATATTAAGTATATTAGTCAATTCACGTGTTGCACGCGCACGCACGTGCATGCGTATGCGCGCAAAATGACCTTCGTTCCGCACACCTACACTACACACCCATTAACCCTAAAAAGGTTTTAGCTCAGTTGGGTGAACAGTTTCTGATAACACTTGTCAAATAAGAAAAAAAAGAATAATAATAATAATAATAATAAGAAACCGAGTAAAAACAATATGTTCCCAAACTCCGTTTGGGGAACATAATAAGAAACAGAGTAAAAACAATATGTTCCCCAACTTCGTTTGGGGAACATAATAACCTAACCTATCTTCGACACGGATGATCAACCCGTGTTACGCGAGTATACTCCTCAGTTTACCTGGAGTAAAAGGTGAAAGAAATGGCGGGAAGTGAAGTCGCATTGTTAATGCGAAAACTGTTTCTGCATAAATTTGTCAGTGTTTGTATTAGAAATTTACAACGTCAATGAAAAAGGTCTGCATTATAATTTTGATATCCCTCCCTTTTTTTTAGTTTTTAGGTCAACCTCTTGAAATTACGGCTGTGTTATCATTGGCAGTTTTTATTTTTTTTTTTAAATAAAGTTTATCTTTTTTTATACACCCCGCTTGAAAAGTGGGAGGGTATATCGTCATGTCCGTCCGTCTGTTACGCTTTGGGGTACCCATCTCTTATCCGCAACTTCTCTCATACCACTGAAGGAAATTTAATGAAACTTTCACAGATTCTTAATTACATATTGCCATTGTGCATCTCCTATTTTACTTTTTGATCTGACACATATTTAGGATTTCCCATGAGCAAAACATGGATACTGTCATTATATTCATATGGGAGGCGGGGGTATCATTTAGTGAGCTCATTGCTCACAGTACCTCTATTTTTTTTTTCTAAATCTGCCTATAATTATTGCCCGAACCTCTGGAGCCCGTTTTACAAAAGAACTTACGACTAAAACCAAAAACTTATGTTGATTATAATTTTTTGAAAATTAACCATTTTGGAAATTGTTATCATAGAAACATTCTAAATTCTTTTCAAGAAGAATAAAATCGCAGAATCAATTTTGGTCTTAGGTGTAAGTTCTTTTTGTAAAACGGAGTTGTCTAATAGATGCATATTGATTCACTAAAATTATTTTGATAGATTTAACAATCGTAGCATAGATATCTCGTGTTAATTACTTTATGAAATTAAATTATTATTATTAATAATTTAGTTTTAACATAATTGCAGGATCAAATGTGAGAGCAATTTCAGTTACATGCATGTATTACAATGTAATCTTATAAATATGGAGGTTCCCTTGAATGAACCGGTTCTTAGTTTACAATAAATGTTATAAGTATATAGAAATTACCTTTTCAGCCTTTAATTACAATCGTAATAATTATTGAACAATTTCATGTGTATTTTTTCAAAAAAGAAAAATTAGTTGAAATATTGAACATTATTTTTACAGACTCAAAATTAAAATCCACAGCCATGGAAGACCATGAAAAACACATACGCTCAAGTTTTCTTTATTTTTTTTTTTTTTTTTTGTAAAAGTATATGTCTTTCACATCCTATGACTAACACTATATTAATGAAAAATGTAGCTATGGTACTTTTCTGACCATTATTATAACCCGTGCAAAATTTTACCGGGGGGGGGGGGGGGGGGGTACAGGCACGTAGCAGCTGGTGGAAGCGCTCCCCACACTTTTTTTCCCAAACATCTCTTTCCTTTTAAAAAATCTTCATTGAAAGACCACCGATTGCTTCCTCCCCCTTTTTGTTACAGTAAAGCCAAGCAAGGCTGAAGTCGTATGGTATGAATAAAATTTGGTACTGAAGGAAGGGGAACCTACATCCTTTCCTCCAACTAAATAGAAGTGTCGTTTTTTTTCTCTGGATTGCCCCCCCCCCTTCAAAAACGATGGTACGTCACTATTATATTTAAAACTATTTCCATGTATGTATGTGGAGACATTCTTATTCTACTTTTTTATTTTAATAAGAGGAGGTATTGACTTGTTAAATAATATTGCAAGGATAAATAATCTATGAAATACATGTTGTATCCACAGGCACCTGACGTTACATGTGTACTTATTTTTCGTTTAATAAAAAAGAATATACCCATACCAAATATATATTTTTTTTTATTAAAAGAAAAATAAGTAACGACAGGTTCCTGTGGTTGTATCTGTAAAAAATAAATTTTGTTGAACAATTACATGTAATTTCAGCTTTGATGTCTTGTATTAAATTATCTGCTATTCTTTATTTGATAATTGGATATTGTTTGTTAATCAACTGTTTGTCCTGTTCAAACCCGATATACAGGGAATATACTGTTTTCCCCGCCATATTTATACAAACACTAAACGACAAGAGATGTTTTATTTAGATCACTAGAGTTCAGTCAGTGAGCATGCGCATATTTAACACTAGTGCGACACGGGTTGTCTTAATCGAATACACTCAATATGAGCGAAAATTTTCGAAAGGGGACGTTAAACAAACAAAACAAAAAAACGAAAACAAATCACAGTAGGTTATCCGTCACACAAGCAGTTGGACAAAGTCCTGTGCTAGAAAAAAAGGAACACGGAAGTTATTTTAAAAGTGTCTCAGAAATGTAGATATCTTTAAATATCAGCAATATAAATGCTGGTTGACAGATAAAATTCTAAAAGAAAAAATTTCGATATATCTAGTGATTAGAAGGGTTTCCTTGTTCCTGCTTCAGTAAATCACTAATATATCTAAATCAACCTACTGATCGGATGGTAATTAATTTTAAGTAAAACCGTTCCATAGAAAAAGTATCGAATTTTTCTTCCGTCTTATGTAATCTTTAACTGCTGTGGGTATCTTTGATTTATTGTATATTTGATAGGCATATAGCGTACCGAACATAGTTTTTTTTCTTCACACACTAGTCATACTAAATAGATTACATCAAAGCATTTGCATATCTTACAAAATCTAAAGAGATGTGGATATTATCAAAAAAACAAGTTCTATTCTTACATAATAAAGTAAGTTTGTTCTTGTTTTAAACTAGCTCTCCGAAGTCGTAATAATTCATTATTGTGTAATAAATCTGGATTCCGATGATTTAATTATGGTGTATCGATGTGTGTTTTAAATACTACCTTTACAGTTCTTTTTTATGTGTGCAGGTTCTTATCGTTTGATCGTTAGATCAGTAGGGGCGATTGTTTTGCACCTATTGTAATTGCTTATTTATGTTCGCATCAGATAAAAATTATTTATGCATGATATTAGCCGTATCTGTCCAGTGATCATATACCACTGGCACAGAGTCTTCATTAAGTGGAATTGATAACTCTACAAGCAGTCTATCGCTATCACATTCATTCAACAAATCTTCAGAATTATTCTTAGCAGATGTCGGTAGGAATTGCAGGCGAACCAACAATGTGGCTAACTTAATGACATCTTCTTACTGTAACAATACAGAGGATAATTTGATCAGAGGAAGATCAGCTTCTCCCGAGAAGTGCGTGCCGGGAGTCGATTTAAACGGACGCTTTAATCCTACCAAGGTGTAAGCTTTTCACTTGTTTTAGAATTATACGATCGATCCGGAATGTTTTTTCTAATTGCACTTGGAGGTTATCTCCGCCCATTTCACGTGCTGACAGACGGAAAAAAGTGTTGGAACTCACTACGGAGATTTCAAATAACATTGCATCATAACGCCAAAAACTATACCAGTGAAAGTCACGGCACATTATGAATGAAATTTTGTACATTGATGCAGAGGGGCAAGACATGGCGAAAAATTTAAGTGATACGTCAATGGTGACTGAAAATGTTTTAAACTTGACCGCTTTGATTGTACCCTTACCTGGCAATGACTCAAACTCGAATACAAGCAGAGGACCTCTTCTACCAGAAGAATCTCTTACGGGATTAATGATTCTATACACACTTACAACTTTATTGTCCATAACAGGGAACATTTTTGTAGTTCTGGTCTTCACCAAAGGTCGACATTCACGGACAGATCTTCGACCTTTCCTGATCAACTTGGCGGTGGCTGATTTAGTCATGGCATTCTTTTGCATGCCCTTCACGTTTGCAGACACCATTCTGGGACACTGGGTCTTCTATAAGCCACTTTGTACTTTAGTACTTTTTGTTCAACTTTTCGCTGTTGCAGCCAGCGTAATGACAAATATGGCCATAGGAATCGACAGATTTCTGGTCGTTCTCTTTCCTTTAAGATCTAGGGTAACTTATTCACGTTCGAAATACGTTATAGGTGTGATATGGTTCTCAGCTTTTTCATTAGCCTCTGTACAGTTTTTTGTCGGTAGGGCACAGAAAAGTGGAGACATTTACAAATGTATTGAAGTTTGGCCAACTCCGGAATCGAGGAAAATTTATACTGTGTGTCTTTTTTTGTGTACGTACATCATTCCTCTCTTTATTCTATCAATAACATATTCTATAGTGGGGATTCTTTTGTGGAAAAGGACGGCCCCTGGGAATAAAGACCAAACACGAGATTTACACAGATTGAGATCGAAAATTAAGGTTTGTATTTTCTAGTGCTTGTTTGTATGTTTGGTGTGCTAGTCCGTTTTATGCTATGATAATTGCCAAATTGAAATATTCTCACCCTTTCTTTAGGATAATAATATCGTAAATCTGTCGTAAAATCGGAATAATCCGCCTACAAGTCTACAATTTTAATATCAGATTTCCTTTACCACAAATAGCTTTCACAGGTGTTAACGTATTTTATGGCTACTGTACTACTATACCTATTATTTCTTCTTTTTGTATTTTAATCCCAAAAATGTTTGCTCTTTTAGAGCAAATTTATACTTAAACGATATTATTCATGGAAAATTAGCAGTTATGATGTCATAGGCTTTGAAGACCATTGAAAATACAAAAAGGACTCCTTTTGGACCGGGTCATTTTATGGTTAAAAATAGCACGACACTCTTCTATTGCCTTTATATAGTTATTTATACACTTACATGCAACATTTTGTAACGCATGTCAATATCTATTATTTTTTTATGTCTAATATTTCTTTTATTGTTATTGCAATGTACGAGGGTTGATCCAAAAGTAATAACACAGTGTCCATTACTTTTGAATCAACCCTCGTAAGTTGCCAAACTTAAAATGCAAATGAAAGTTGTATAAAATAAATATATGTTTAAAATATTTCTTATTACACAAATAGTTCTTGTTTTTTCTTCCTTTCTTTTTTGTATATTCCCAAAATACAGGGGTTTTTTAAATTTAATTTTTTCATCGTTAAAATTTATAATAAGTTTGTTCAGTTTAATATATCGAGGAATTGGACAAGTATTGTTTATCCTATGGCATATTGTTTCCAAAAATAATCTCCAGTTCTGCTAATGAGAAGTTTCTAATGATGAAAAGGTTCATGACCTGCAGACATGAGCTTTGAACATTTTTCAAATTTCTTTCGGCAAGCAACTTGAAGGCAATTTCCTTTGAGGACAACATTTATATTTCTCATATAATGGTCAAACACACGTGATGGTGATCGACCTCAAATTATCAGATCTGCTGGTCAAACACGTTTGATCACAGCATGTGATACCAGATGTACATAGTTGGCAGCTGGTTTTTGTGTGATATATCATCAAAATATATTTGTAAATATCACAATAAACATCACTACCTTGCCTTATTAATTTCAATTACGAAGCTAATCAAAAGATTTAAACATGTCTTTTATCAAATGATTAACGTCTTCAGGGTCATTATATATAGAAGAATGCTACCAAAATTGGTTTAATTTTCATATTTTCTATTTTTAAATACATAAGTATTTTATTTAACCACACAATTCTTTGTAGATGTCTTAGAGAAAAAAATATTCGTACCGCCAAGTAAATTTTTTTTGGATTCATTTGAGAAGAGGACATTACCGTGAAATGTGAAGGACACCGAACTGATGAAGGTCACACTTTATCAAGGCAATTTGATTCGAGAACACGTAGGTTCTTTTGCTAAAGTAATGGTTTATGTTTTTACAATTTCGATTGTATCTCACCCACTGGTGCAGTAATAGTTTAAAATGTGGTTCCTGGTGAGATCTTTTGCTCGGGTGTCAAATGAAAGGATGGGAAACAATAAAAACTGATAAAGTCTAACGCAAGAATTTGAATGTTCAGGATTTTCAGTTTTTCAAATCACTTATCATCAACTTTAGATTGTTTAAAATCATTTCTATGCACCAGATTTGCATCATTTATTCATTACTGCTGCACTAACATTGCTTAAATTCTGAATAACGAAATGGCAAAAAACTTCGATTTTTTTGGAATTATTGCATCGTAACATCTGATGATTGTAATCTTAAAATGAATCATGAATAGCAAATGTATTCAAAAATAAAAATATTTTTTTAAACTAACAAGTTGCTAAAGAAGATAAAGTTTCAGTCAGGTGGAATAGGAAGAGATAGCTATGTGTGTCATTTATAAACAAATATCCTCGATATTTATGGAATTCATATCAATACAACAACTAATTAATAAGATAATTAATCTTTGAACACATTAAAATGTTGTTGAATGTACTATAGTACTAGAACATCAGTTAACTATAATAAATGCGACTCACAAATCTATCAATGTGTCTTTGCAATACGTTAATAAACGATTTCTTATGTTTGTTTAACTTTCTTAATAGAGGTATTCTTAGATTGGTTTTCCTTATCTTTTAATTTCTTTTTTTTTTATTTTGTCTTCCCAATCTGTTGTCTATTTTTTTTTAATTAAAGGGCATTTGAGAATTCTCTTTTTTTTTACCTAATGCAAAGTAAAATAAATAAAAAAAAATAATTCTAGAAAAATTATTTTTATTTTATTTTCTGCCAATCAGGTGCATAACGCTTTTGGTATTTCTGTCCTTCTTAGTCCTTGTCTACGAAGACTTGGCAAATAACATGTGTAAAATAAATAATCACCACCAATGATTTTTTGGTGTTATCTGTTATAAAAAAAGACACAGAGTTCCAGTTCTTGTACTTTGAATCATTGGAATATTACACATAAAAGTGAATAACTGATGCGATTGAATGTCGAATCTGTTTGTAATTTTGGTAAAATAAGATCCATTTTTGTTATGTTATTCTGCAGTATGGAATAGGTACCAAGGGAGGTCTTTAGACCCATTAACATCTGGGCACATACGAAAGCTGTCGAAAAAATGTCGAATGAATAAAAGAAGTGTCCATTAAATTCCATCGCAATTACTTGTTCTGCGTAGGATATCTCTCCTAGATCGCACTTTCCCCCTCACTATATATCAGGGAAGTGATTATGCTGGTTAATACTTTATGCCTTGCATAAAATTTGTTTCTTTATTATAAAAAAACAGAAATTGAATTTTGATTTCTCATTTTCTATAGTAATTTACAAGGAAAATGTAAGCTATTTGTAATTTGTAACTTTGCATTTATTTTGTCAAAAAAAAATCAATAAAATGTGAACATAACACACAAATCATATGTTCAAAAGTCGATTTAAACAACACAAATTTAGAGCAGAGCAAATATTGACGTTTGAAAACATCAGAGATCGAATCAGATGCCTAGGTGGATTAAATATCACTCGCAAAATAAAAAAAATGTTGACTTTAAATGCGATTTTTGTACCTTATATCATCAATTCATTTGTCAGTAGCTTAGCTCGTATAGAAATACATGTAATCCGTACGTGGGCTCTTCAAATCAACTGGAAACGTAAACCCCACATATACAGTGTAATATTAATGATATATTGCTGCATAAATAAGGTAAGAAGTTGATGTCACAATCCATTTCTTCTATCATTTTGTGATGTTAAAACTTTTTAAAAAAAATAATCACATTTCATTAAAACTCAATAACTACTAATTTAGAAAATGTGATTTGGGTAACATATTTTCTTTTAGGGAGAGAGCCAATATAGGCTTTGCCTGCTGACCAATCCTATTCAATTAGTAAATAAAATTTTGTATAAATAACAAAAAATATTTTCCATCATTATTATCAGTCCTAAAGCAGTAATGTGGCACCATCAGAACTTCGTTTAAAGGGTGTCATTTGTGGTCATTCAATAAATTATTCTTTTACACCCTTATCTCAGAATCAGGCGATGTCGAGTTATAGAACACTCGATTCGAGGCAATAAGATGCGAAAAGTGCGATTTCTGTCCCCATGAATAAAATTGAAAATATGAAAATATTATAAAACAAAAAAATTTTTTCAACGTTTGGTATAACAACGGGAATTAAATTAAATAATAAGTAAGTGATTAATGTGAAAAATATCAATGTTCTTACTTCTTTCTATCCTCAAAAATATTATTTATTACCCTAACGATCCGTTTTATAGAAACATAACCATAAAATTTAGCTCTGTGCTATCAATTATCTAAAAAATATCAAAAAATTTCTGCAGCGCGTTTTATCTGAAAAGCATACATCTGATACGAAACAGTGTAAAAGTTAATCCAAAAGCACTGTTATGAAAAAGCCAATATTTTGATCTTCCTTGAAATACAAACCATGGCCCGGACTATTTTCTTTTATCCAATGTATTCCCTTTTAGTATTTAGTATTTTACAACCCTTTAATATCCATTAAACAGTTTGTAATGCAATTTCACGAAGAAGAAGGTCATCGTTTATTATACTTGAACTAGAACTATGGGTCGGTTTTCTGTGTTTCAAAGCCATACACCAATAAAAAAACAATAGAAAATTGAGGAGAATTTATAAAAAGATTTATAGACCACAAATATTCCATCTGTATGATTACGAAAACGATAACAACAGTTTACCCAGAAGTAAATATTGCAATTCCAGTTTAAACCATATTACAGTGATCGTTTCAATTGTGACATAGTCCAACATGATGAACAATTGATATTTATTTGTGGAAGTGGTTTATTTATTTGAATTTGTACAAATTTCTTGTGAATAAAACGCTACAAATCTCTATCTACGCGTGAAACATACCATGCTTCTTGCAATATCAAGCAATATGGCATAAAGATACAGAAACCCCGATTTTTTTTTTTTAATGAAAATATTTCATTTAAATGGCTTTTTTCCTTCCAGTTAATATGTTCTAATGAATTTTAATACCAATCATGGTTAAAAAGCATTATAAGTCTTTTGGTAGTGTGTAGATATGCACAAAACTTGAAAGAAAAAAAATCAAATAAGTATCTGTGTCGGAGTTTCCGCTCTCTGTCAAATAAATCGACCTTGGAATAAAGTATACTACATATATATTCACTCCGGAAGCCATTAATAATAAAATGGTGGCAAAGTCCTGATACCATCACGTGACTACGCTTGTAATGCTACTGGTCATTCTCTCGTTCACTGGCGTAAACCGATTCCAAAGTTTTATCGGTTAGATAAAAACATGCACTGTTCTAGGACAGTGTCGAAAGAAACTTTTAATTTAATTTTTGGTGACTATGTGATGTTAGAAAATAAAAACATTCAATATCAAAGTCATTATAGTTTCATTTTTATGTTTTGTATTT